TGCTCTCAGCTCTCCCTTCTTGTCATTGTCTGTTTTATTGCACCTGGAAATGCTGCCTTGTGAGAGACAAAGAGTCGCTTTGTGAACTGGAGCACATGGGTGCAAAGATGGGATTTCTCTTCAAAATCCCTTGGTGTCTAATTGGACTGTATACCTCGGACACTCTTGGAATATGGACACTTCATTGGTAATTATGAATATCTTTAATGTGTAGTTAAGGCAAATTGCCCTAGCTTTTGTTATTTTGTAATCTCTGGTAGTCTATGCTAATCTCTGTACTGAATAAAAATTATTCTTAATTCTAAATGGTCTCTGATGTTGTACCTGAGTTCCAAGCCTAAATCTTGTGGCCTAATGCTCCCCACACATGCTACCTTGGTAAGAGTATGCATCTCTATATTGAGTTGCTAATGTGTTTTATCCCAGATGCCAAATAAGGGTTTGGAATCTCTCCCTTAGGAAAGGCAGGGACTATTGAAAAGAGGTTCTGGTGGCAAATTGTTGTGAAGACCAGAGATGGTACAGACTGTCTCGTGGTTTGTTGTTTAATGTACTGAAAAAGTACAGGATTCCCTCCCATTCCTGGACTTGCCTGGGTGGGCAATACCTGTACATGGTTGGAGCGGTGTCTCCTGTACATGGTAATCCTGTACAGAGGTAAGCAAAGGTTTTAACATTGGACCTGGAACAAATAAATAAACTTTTGATTTTCCCTTAAAGTTAGCAGACTGGGTCCTGAAAAGAGGGGAACTCTAGAAGAAAGAGTTCACTTAAACACTGAGCAATGTGATTTAGTGGTTAGTGTGCAGCTAAAATTCAACCAGATTTAGTTTCCATGTGGTGGCTGTAATACCCCTTTGAAAGTGGGCCTTTTAGACCGGAATGCTTATATCTGAGCTTCTCCTGTCTTTCAAATGTTTACTGTGTTTATTAGTGAATGCATCTGAAGCAAAAGTGCAGCCTCTTAAGATGACACTGTAAGGATATCCCTTCTTCCAAGTCTTTGAACTAAAAATTATTCTTAATTCTAAATGGTCTCTAATGTTGTACCCTTTTGATCTCTTCCCTTGTGCTTCCTTCCTTTTTGTCCCTATTTCTTTGGGAAAGATATTGTCCTTAGTGTGTAGCCATGCTGGAAAGTGTTGTTTTGTAATTTAATTTCTGTACAAGGTCTTGTTTTTAAAATGCGATACAAGTATTATTACTACCACCGCCACTTAACTTAAACCTGTGTTCTGTTACCTCCCTATGAGTTGCAGGCATAGTTACGTGCTGCAAGATCTGGGACTTAATGACCATAGGGTTGCAAAAAAAGAGATAGGAGGCCATGTGACACCAGAGCTACATCCCCAGAAGAAGAGTCAGTGGTGTGCTTTTGGTTCTGTCAGGGTCAGGATTTCGGGCAGTAGACCACAAGAGCTGAGGATACGAAAGACAAGCTGAGCACTGGTAGGTGTACAATAGGAAAGAACAAGTCAAGGTTCAGAGCCCCAAAGGAATCCTTTCCAACATCAGTGTGGTGTAATGGTTAGAATGTAAGACTAGGATTTGGGAGACCCCTGTTAGAATCCTTACTCAGCTATGGAAACTTGCTGGGTGATCCTGGGCCACACACCCTCAGCCTAACCTACTTGACACAGTGGTTGTGGGGATAAAATGGAGGAGAGCAGAACGATATAAGCTGCTTTGGGCCCTCAATGGAGGGAAAGGTAGGGTATAAGTGAAGTGAATAAATCTATCTCACCATAGTGTTGCTGCTCTTAGCATGCCTAGGAAAAAAGGACGGCAGCCTTGTTCTCCATGCTCATATACTAGCACCAGGTCCTTGTAAAAGGCAGCCAAAAAAAGAAGGCTCTGTTGGGGATGGCAGCCAAGCGGTAGGGCCTCCCTGACCCATCCAAGGATCCCAGCTCATGGGTTGAAGGCAATGGCCTGAGGGATAATATGCTGTAGGGTAATATCAGTAGTCTTATTTCCAAGCACAAATTTGAGTTTGATCAGAATGCTTTTTTATGCAGTGCTTTATAAATCTGTTCTTTTTTTTCTCCATATGGAGTTGGTAGGAATGCAGTTTAAAACTCAACAGTTCTTACACTGGATCCTCAGAAATTAAGCCAAAAATATAATTTCATCTTTGTTGGATCATTGAACTTGTGTGTGTGTTAAGTGCCTGTTAAGTTACTTCTGACATGACAACCCTATGAATTAATTACTTCCAAAGCATCCTGTTGTTAAAAGCCTTGCTCAGGTCTTGTTGCGTTTTCCTGCTGCCTTTAACTTTTCCTAGCGTTATTGTTGTTTCCACTGACTCTTGTTTTCTAATAATGTGACCAAAGTAGGACAGTCTCAGTTTAGTCCTGTTCCTGTACCAAATTAGAACACCTACATGCCTCAAGGCACCTTGGCTCACCAAATAGGGTCTACAGACTCAATAGTACTTAAGCCCAGAGTTATTATTTTTAGCGAATGCCTGCCTGATTCTAAGGGCATGGAATATAAACTTTGCCATGGCCAGAGTTACACTCCTATCATTGCCAGCGAAAAGATATGGCAGATGGAAATCATGCAAGCAGCAGGGGAACCTGTTCAATAAAGGCAGTGTGAGATTGGTTCTTATAGAAGAGTACAGATGACAACTAAATAGAATATGAGCTAAAGTTTTGGTTACTGCTTTGCCTCAAGGGCAGAGTTTAGTTATTTTAGCTTCTAGGGAGAGTTCAGACTTGATTTGATCTAGGAACCACTGATTTGTCTTTTTGGCGGTCCGTGGTATCCAGAAAACACTCGTCCAACACTGCATTTTGAATGAATCAACTTTGTTCCTGTTAGCTTTCTTCATTGACCAACTTTCACATCCCTACACAGTAATGGGGAATACTATGGTATGGTAGGTAAAGGCTATTTTATGTCGGAATTTTCATTTGAACCACATTTCATAAATGTTCGTTTTATACTGTAGTGCAACCAGGAAACGGTTACATTTTGGTGGAATTTCTTAGGGTATATAAATATAACTGCTAGTAACTCCTGCCTTGGGATAGCATAGTGTGAGCCAAAGGCCCTTGATGCTGATATGCATGTATGTGCAACTCTGTATACACATGGCTTTCCTCTGTGCATATTTGCACCTGGGTCCTGTTTTGCCATAGTGGGCCACACTGCATAGTAAGACACTCAGTTTTGCTGAAATGAATTAAGTGGTTTACTGAGGCTCAGCGCCCAATAGAACAATAAATGCTCAGGGTATCAAGCACTCAAACCAATACTTGAAAATAATATCTAATCTGAGACTTCAGCAGTGGAAAAATCATAAAGACAAATAGCAATGGTTACAGAGCAATAAAATATAGCTCTGTCCCTACAAGCATGTTGGCTCCCTAATCTCTACCAGCCATCTAATTAAAAGCTGAGCCACCTACATTCCAAAGCAAGTTCATAGCTTTCTGGAGTCTGGTCCAAGGACCTCCAGCAAAACGGGGAAACAGAGAAAAAGAATAAAGTCCGGGGGGAGGGGGACCCAAACCTGCCATATAGTATATTAGTTAATTTCCCCTTGGTCAGAGGAGTTAGCCATTCCCAAGGCGAAGGGGTAGAGGCATAGAGACTTTTTTTTTTCATTTCTGTATTTTCCTTTTACCCCCATTTTACTCCAGAAACAGTATTGCACCCTCACTTTGCACAGTGTCGTCACCTTAAAATTTACTGTATCTTTTGAGACCCTCCACTGCAGTACCACAGGCTGGGACTTGGTGTGGACATAGTGCTGCTGGTCCCAGCTTGGAGGCAACAGGTGTAGGCCACAACCAACCACCAGCAGTGTGTGGGGGGGGGTGAAGATGGTCAAAGTAAGCTGTTCCCATGATTTCTTACATTGCTGGTGGCTGGGATCTGGCTGAGCCCCTGGAAATGGATGGCAATGCAGAGCAAGGGAAGAGTTACAGGTTTTCTTCCCTGTAACTGGAAGGAGGGGGCCTTACAGCCTCTCTTCCCAGTTTAGTAGTCAGATTGTAACAACCCACCTGTGAGAGTAAAGTACTTAGCTTTTGAGTCATGACCCCTAGTTTAAGAACCACTGATCTTTAGTGGTATGTTATCGTATCACCTGTTGTTGTTTTTTCGGGGGGAGGAAAAGGAACCTGTTGTGTTAGCATTTTTTCCTGATCTGCTGCAATCCAACTTACAAGTTCCTTCATGACTTTCATCTTTGTTCCCCGGTAAATGTCTCTAGTTGTGTGCCGCTTTCCACCCTTTGGCACTTTAACTACAACTCAGGGGGCACGTCAGTCTCCCAATACTGAAGCTTCACGCTGTATAGTAGTTTCCAGTGTCAGTAAGTTGCCTGAGGTTATAAAAGCTCAAGATTTATTGAGCTTTCCATCAAATGCCTCTTAAGCATTTTCAGATTATTTTAAATTTATTTCCCATAAACTTCTGTCAAGCATCGATCCCATTTTGCAGCTGCTGTTCTCCTGTGTGTGTTGCTGCCTTTTCCATTTGGCCAGGCGCGCCTCCAGGGTCAGAATATTCCTAGCTCTGAAAGGATCCCTAGTTTGCTTTGTTTGTGTTTTGTTTGTACATAATAGAAATGTGAACAGTACGCCTCTAAGACTGCCAGCCATTTAAAGTAGGTTGTAAATGAGTGGAACACTGAAGTCCACTTCCTTCGATAGCAGAACTCCTAGGGAGAATCCAACATTTTAAAAAGCATCTGTGTTCTCGGGATACCATAATTCTTGCCAGGCATCTAGAAAACAGAACTTTTTTGTGCAAGATTATACGCAGTCTTATATTTTGAAAGAAGCTTTCAATGTGGCCATTTCTGGTAAGGCTTTGACTGCCGTAAAAGCTGTGTGCTCAAGAAGTGTGCATCCACATGACAGCTTATATTCAGAATTAAACTTTGTTGGTCTTAAAGGTGCCGCTTGTTCTAGGTGAGTACTTGGGGTGTGCATGGATATGTAATTAATATGTACCTTTTTTCCTTCACAACATTTCCAAAGATGACTCCAGTGTTCCTGAAACCCCTGAAGCAAAGAGGACAACAAAACTGTCTCATTTTAAGTATCGTAAAGATGTCATTGAATTGTCATCAGACAGTGAAGAGGAGGAATCACCCAAACACTCCAGTGAAAAGCAATTCCCTGCTCCCAAGAAGGATGTGATTGTAATGTAAGTATTTAACTCCTTCCGCAGCACATGCTAGTGATATTAGATTCATCCTTCTGAATCCTTTCTTCCCAGACTCCAGTGGGTTTTTAATATTAAAAACCAATTAAATGTTGTAGGGTAGCTTTACCGCAGCCGCCAAGTGGTATGTGCTGTCAAGTTGAGTTATGGCGAACCCTTAGGATTTTCAAAGCCAGAGATGTTCAGAGGTGGTTTGCCATTGCCTGCCTCTGCATGGTGACCCTGGACTTCCTTAGTGGCCTCACATTCAAGTACTAACCAAGGGCAGCCCTGCTTAGGTTCTGAGGTCTGATGAAATCAGGCTAGCCTGGGCCATCCCGGTCCAGGTGTCAAGTAGAGCATGGGAATTAGGGTCAGACTTTTCCTCAGATGTATTGGTACTGAGTGAATGTGAGCAAATCCATGCTGGAGTTAAAAACATGTAAACAAAAACATGTAAACAACTAATAAACTGAAAGGATCTCTGCAAACTACTAAATGACATTGTGTGCATGTATATCACTTTACACTTCTTTACAAAGAACCTTAACTTCACATATGTCTTGAGTTCTAAAGTAGCAGTGCCTGTCCTAGAAAGGGATTTGGGGGTCTTGGTCGATAATTCAATAAATGTTAACTTCAGGTGCAACAATGGTGAAAGGCAAATTCAGTTTAAAGGATTATAGGGGAAGGGACAGGACATCCTGTATCATAATGCGCTTATAGAAATCTGTGGCATGGTTCTGTTTGGAATACTGTAGAGTTCTGGCATATCTTTTCAAAAAAAGTTATTGCAGAGTCGGTAAAGGTGCTGAAAACATCAGACAAAATGACAAAGGATTGGAATTTTCCCCCCTGAAAACAGGCTGAAGAGGTTAAGGCTTTAGTTTTCTTCCCACTGAACTATAATGGGAGACAGGGCAAAGGTCTGTTGACAGGAATTGTCTTCCTCTTCCAAAATATGAGCATTTCGGTCACTCACTAAAACTGAAAACCAGTAGATTGGGAATAAACAAAAGTTCTTAACTAGTCGAATTCATGGAGGCTAGGGCTGTCACAAACAAAACCCTCTGAATAGCAGTTCAGAGCAGTGTAGCTCTGAAACCATTTGCTGCAGAGCAAGTAGTGACGGTAGGCATTTGTTGGGTATATAGTGGGAAATGGGATGCTAGACTAGGCCAATCTTTGGTCTAATTTGACAGGTCTCCTAGATTCTTAAATCCTGTGTGTGACAGTTTTTCCTGTCCTTGCCATCTGTGTCCCACAACCCCTCTACCTCTCATGATGTCATCAGTGGCAGGGGACCACTACTTAGGTCTAGACTTCATCCCTACCCCAGAAAAGGTGCACATAGTTATTGCCATGCTGAATAGATGATGCTGACCTGTACTGATTCGAACCAATTGTTTACCATTAGTGTCCACACTCTTGCAACTCTCTCAGGCAGAAGTCTTTCCCAGTCATAACCTGAAAGCCTTTCAACTGGAGATCAGGGGTGGATTAACCATTTAACTTGCAGAGAAGATTCTCTCTGGGCCACTGGCCTGGAGATCAGCTCTACCACTGCTGCAGGAGCCACTCAGCTCAGACCTGGCTAGCCACATTAGCAGCCAACACCCACTGCTTCCTCCTGCACACACTGCTCATGGTGTAGGAAGAGGCAGCAAGTGAGGTGAGCACGGCTCACCAGATCTGAGCCAAGAGGCCCTGAAGCTGTGGCCTATACCACCACCGAAGCTACTCAGCCTAGCTTACGCCTGGACTGAACCTTCCTAAACCATGTTCTTTACCAAATTGTAGCCTTCCCCCTTTGCAGATAGTTTTGCTTTCCTGGGACCCTAAACTCCCTGATTCACAGCTAGGCATGAAAAGAAGTTCCGTATGCTCCTCACTTCTCTCCTCCTCCTCAGAAGTGAGGAGATGGAGTGCTTCCTGTCATCACCTCATTGGAAATGAGAAATGTTGTCAAGCAGATAGTGGCTGTACTAGGTATTCATTCTGTGTTGGGGATAGACAGCGCAGTGTGCTATTCTCCAGTGGTCCTTTTATGGGGACTAGGAGAGCTCAGACTGCATGCAGATAGATGTTTCTTCATCTGAGCTGAGGAGCAGGAATATGTTCTTGCTCCACTCAGCCCTGCCCACTATGACAGCTTTACCCCTACAAAGCAGTTTGGGAGACTAAAGTAAAAATCTTTACCAGCACATTTATGGCTGAATATAGACCCATCCAGCCCTATGTTCTCAGAACATTCTCCATTTTGACATTCCAGGGCTGTAGCTTCCATTGCACGTTTGCCAACATATTAACAGGGCTATGATTGCTAGGAGTGTGTGAAGGATCATACCATAATTTTCTTAATCACTGCAGCATCTCTAAGTACTATATTCTTCATAAATCTCATAATGTTGAAAGCAAAGTGTGTGGAATATAAAATATTAAAACAAATGTTATCCATAAAATTTAAAAGCTCAGTTGATTAGAAATCTATTAAAACGTTAATTTTGAAACCAAATATACATTATATATTAAGCGTGTTTAACTGTTAGTGCATAATTTAACACATGCTAGTGTTTCTGTATTCTTAATTACACAGCATTTTAACAGAGACAAATGCCGACCATCTGACAATTAGATGTGCATTTTAAAATACCCTCAAGTAATCAGTTTTATAAAAATTTAGCAGATAATATTTTACAAGGTTTTTTTTAGAGAATTGAATGGGATATTGAAATTATTTTTATCTTAGCAATTAATACAAGTTTTTCATCTTTTTTTCCTAAGGCAAATTGACAACTAGTATACTCTTTGAAAAAGTTCTACCGCATTTCACTGTTTAGGTGTTGCCAAGCCTCCAAACACTGTTGGTGTGCATTTGAACATTGGGCCCCACTATGGCTTTATATATAAGGGACAGATTATGTGAGGGAGGGAAGGCAGCATGGTGTAGCACAATTTTGTCAATCTCGGAAGCTAAGCAAAATTGGCACTTGGCTGGGAGACCACCAAGGAAGACTCTACAGATGGCAAACCACCTCTGCTTCTTACTTGCCCTGGAAGTCCCTTACTGGGGTTGCCATAGTTGGTTGCAACTGGACGGCACTTATGTACATATCTTAAGTGAATTAAGGTGCCTTCTGCTCTTAAGGATTTGTGATCAATATGTGAAGATTGAGACTGTATTTATCTTAATTTTTTTTTTTCTGTTTTGAAGGAATAATTATCCTGGACTTGTAAGCAGGCATTCATCTGAATGTCATTTCTTTTAGGTTTAGGTATGTTTGTTTGACTTGGATGACAAAGAGGATTTTTTTTGTTTTTGTGGATATTTTCAGAGGGTAGCCATTTTGTTTTGCAGTGGAGCAATATCCAGTGGCACCTTAGAGACCAACAAGAGTTTCAAGGTGTAAGGTTTTGAGAGTCAAAGCTCCTTTTGTCAGACATGAGTAGGAAGGAAGACCTCTGAGTCCTTTTATACTGGTCAGATGATAGGAGGGGTGTTGTAAAGGATGCAGAGGTAAATGCATTTTGTAATCAGCTTGACTAGAGCAGAGGGGAAATGCTAGGGGGCAGAAAATTAGCATCTGTTGTGACATAAGGATCCTATGTCTCAGGTTGTAATTTCACCTTGAAATTTCTTTGTTTGAGGACTGCCACTCTTAAGCCAGCAGTGGAATGACCTGAGAAATTAAAAAGTTCTCCCACTGGTTTTTGAGTATCACGGTTTTTAATGTCAGATTATGTCCATTTATTCTTCTGCATAGGGACTGACTGGATTGTCTGATGTAGAGAGTAGAAAGGCATTGCTGACATTTGATGGCATATATAATGTTGAAAGATGGTGTCCGGTCCCTCCGACCCTGCTGAAGGTGACTTACACCAAGCCCCAACCGAAGGGCTCTGTGCCACCCAGGGTCCCAAGGCTGACTTCAGGTATCCTCAAGCCAGCCAGCCAGCCGCAAGCAAACAAACTAGGCCCCAACATCACTCTCTCCCATGGTGAGAAGAGCCGGCCATGCAAGGAGAATGGGGGAAGGCTGGCTGAAGACAAATGGCACCCTGCCTCCTGAGGCCCTGCAGAGGGTATCAGAAAAGTTACAGGGCAGGGCTCCTGAAGCCTCGAGGCAGGAACCTTCATGGGGCTGAGCCAGGGGGGAGGGATCCATACTTCGTGTTGCAGTAGAAATGCTGGAAAGAACAGAGGAAGACGCTGAATCCAGCCATGTGCAGAATGAATAGGCAAGAGGCGGAAATAAGGGAGGAGTTGGGGAAGCAGGGTTTTAAGGGGAATACTAGGAGAACCAGTGGGGAGATAGAAAGGGAAGCCAGACAGGAGGATTGACCATTCACTGAAGGGAACAGGAGAGAGAGGGGAGGCACCTACAGGGAAAAACCAGGATTAAAAGGGACCAACAGCTGAGGTCGAGGAGGAGGTGGATGGCCTAAATCCAAGCCAGAGAGAGACTGACAGAGAGACCAGGAGTTGGCTAACAGGGAAGAAGTAACCCCGGCCCTCCCAATTCTGAGACCTCAGCATCCCTGGAACACTGGGAAGTGAGGCAGAAAACACTCACAGATGAACAAGTGAATGAACCTGAGATGGTATGGCTGGTGTTGTTAGGCCTGGTTATTGTGTTGTCAGAGTGGATATGGGGACAGAGCTGGCGTCTTGTTGCAGGCCCTGGTCCCAGAGTCTGTGTCCATGTTTGGAAGGGTATTGCTGTGGGTAAGAAGTTTAAGGTTAAGCAGAAGAAGAGTTGGTTTTATACCCCGCCCTTCACTACCCAAAGGAGTCTCAGCGCAGCTTACAATCACCTTCCCTTCCTCTCCCCACAGCAGACACCCTGTGATGTAGGTGGGGCTGAGAGAGCTCCAAGAGAGCTGTGACTGACCCAAGGTCACCCAGCTGGCTTCATGTGGAGGAGGAGTGGGGAATCAAACCTGGTTCTCCAGATTAGAGTCCTGCCGTTGTTAACCACTGCACCAAAACTGGCTCTCCAGGAGGTTGTCTGTGGGCAGGAAAAGATTTGCTTCCCAATGCCCATTAGAGAGGAATAGGATTGTAGGTTGTTAATGATGTGCTGAACTGGTTTGCGTTGAGAGTTTTATGTAACCACTAGTGGTGCTGTTGTTTTGTTTGGGCCTATCTTACAACATGTTATTTCTTCGTTATCATTCTGGCTTTGCTGATCTGTTTCCTTACTACGACAGGTGTGTGTTGTAATTCCAAGAATGTCTGTTGCAGATCCTGCAGTTGAGAGCCTGTCTGAGAGATTGGAACAGATGTGGCTGTAGTGTAGAGCTTGGCTGTAGACAGTAGATTGTTTGGTGTGTTTAGGATGGTGACAGGAGGCGTGTTGATTTTTGGCAATGGGAGATTTTTGCCCCCATGCATTTAATATGCCTGTAAATGACTTAAATTCATAGGCATGAACAATTAAGTTAGCAGCATTTGTGGATTTAATTTTCAAAGCTGAACTTATTAAAATGTAGCCCTATTTCATTTTTGTTTAAAAGCAGGTTGCTGGGCTGGCTAAAAGCTTTACATTTGCATGAAGAGTGATTGGAATGTGGAATTTGCTGCCAGAGGATTTCGTGATGGCCACAGAAATAAAACAGCTTTAAAAGGGGATTAGATAGACTTATCCTTTACAAATCTATCAGTTGCTACTAGCCATGGTGACTGAGGGGATCCTCCACGTTCAGAGGCACTAAGCCTCTGAATCTCAGAGCCAGGAGGCAACATCAGGAGAAGGCCTTGGTTTCTATGCCCTGTTGTTGGACCTCTAGAGGAACTGGCTGGCCACTGTGTGAGACAGGATGCTGGACTAGATGGACCATTGGTCTGATCCAGCAGGGCTCTTATGTTATTATTTGCCCAGTTCTGTCACGTGACTCAAGGCTGTTTTGCAGTATCCATCTGTACTGAAAGAATGTGCCATATTAGTTTATTATCTAAGAATAATTGTAGTCAGTAGTCTCAGGGTCTCAGAAATGACCCAAAGCACTCCAGAATTCCGGAAGTAATGAAAATGTATCTCCTTGAATGTCAGTAGAGTTTCTTGATCTTAGGGGGAAAGAGAGGAAGGCCATCACCCTCCCTTTAAATTTTAAAGGGCCTTTATTTTCTGTGGGAAGACATTGCCTTTCTATTGGCTTTAGGAAATAATGGGCTGATTATTTCCTATGGGCTGTAAACCTAGTCTCAGAGGCCAGATCTAGCTGACCAGCAGTACATCAGTATCTCCAGTCCCTTTAAATGTTAAAGTCCCGTTATTTTTTTTTAATGGAGTATACCTGGCCCCCAATTTGGGAAAACCAGGTCTTCCCATAGAAAACAAGGGCTCTTTAAAATTTAAAGAGAGAGATGCTGAAAGCAGCTTCCTCTTCCTCCATCCCACCCTGATTCTTCTGCATGGGGGAAGGGGGGGGACAATTGATAAAACGTTTCTGAATTTTTAGGAACTGAAAAACTCAAAACTAAGGAGTGACCTGAAAATTCAGGATAATGAAAACCATGCCCTCCCTAAATCCAGATTTGAAGTCAGTCCTAAATTTTTGATGTGGATACTCTTGAAACAGGGGTTAGGCAAACTTTTTTACCCCAGGTGTTTGTGCTAGAGATGTAAAGGCCCAGAAAAAAATCCCAGAGAAATTTGGGGAAAAACAGTCAGTCCTAAATTTTTGATGTGGATACTCCTAGCAACATTTTTTATACATCTTGGAACAGGGGTTAGGCAAACATTTTTACCCCAGGTGTTTGTGCTAGGGAAAAACAGGGGGTTTTAATAGTTTTTTTCCCCCCTGAGGACATTTTTCAGTTTTTCTGATGTAAAAATTGGAAATTTTGAGGAGTGTTAAAAATATGCACTCCTATGAAATATTTTATCTTCTAAAATTAGTGAAATGCTTTTAAAGACAAGGTGGTCATTTTGTAGACATATGCAGCTCTTAAATCCAAGATAAGTTTCTGCACCTAGCGGGATACCTAATCTTCATGAGGGGAGCACGCAGGGTTCTCATGGTTTCTCGACAGTTGCCTGCCTTTTGTTCTCCTTCTGGTTGACTTTTTCTCCTCTCCCACAAACCACTATGACACATTTACCCACAGACTGGCTAAAAAGTAGCTTATTGCCCTACCTTCCAGGAAGGAGAAAAAAGATCAGGAGGAGGACACTGCATGAAAGCATCAGAGGAAAACTGTGTTTCATTGAGAATTTAGCTCTATCTAACCAGATAGTATGTGTGCTGAGACAGCATAGGGTGCATCTACTTGCAGTTTTCTTTCAAGCACTGGGGATATTTATAATTTTGCTTACATGAAACGAAGGCATTCATAACTTTTAAATTCCATAAAGATGTCAGTTATTGCAGTTTTATATGCCAAGTAAGTTTTAAATGAGTCATTTTTTGTTGTGAGTGCATTCTCAAAATGCCTATTTAAAAAAAAATGCCCTGGGGGGAAACCCTTTCCTATGACTTCAAATTATCCAGGAATTTTACATCTCTGGTTGGTGCTAATAAGTTTGCTAATGTTTCCCTTTCTCAGCCTGGCTTTCTCCATAATGCAAAGGTTTTTGGTTGTGTCCAGCCAGCTTTTTTACTGATGAAAAAGGGAAGAAGGGGTGTGGGTCCCTCTTAACCACCAAAAAGGCTATGCTGAGGTTCATGGATGGATATAAATCCAGCAACAGATTCTGGAGAGTAATGCAAAGAAATTATCCAGGCAGAAATATAGCACATAAACAGGCCCGTTGTCTTTAAGATAGAAATTGGAGCATTTGTTCTTCTTGCTCACTTATTGAGAATACCCCAAACAGTATATTATTGGAGCTGTATGCCTTTTGTCCTAAGAACCTGACTGTTGAAAGGATGAGTGCTTTTCTAAATGCTGCAACATGTTACTCTGTCTTCTGTGTTTCTTGAAAGTGTTTCACCACTTTAGATTGATGCAATTTTTTTTTATATCTTCACCCATAACAGCTCTGAGCCTTCTGATACTGAACAATCTGACGGTGAGCCATCAAAATGTATAAAAAGAAATGGTCCATCTCAGTCTTCAAAGGCACTGGAGGAAGAAGATGAAGAGGAAGATCTGAATTACTGTAAACTTCAGACACTAAAGGAACTTTTCCCACAAATAAGTGACCAAGAGCTGTTACAAGTACAGTAATATAACTTTGGGTTGTTACTGGTTTTGAAGGGCAATAGCAAAAGAGGATCTTGTGGTGCAGAAGCATTAAGCGTGGAAACATTGTAAGGAAACATTGGGTGTGGAAATGATCCCAACCCCTTCCTCCCCCCCCCCAAAAAAAAATATTCCAGCTGTAGGTGGCATATAAGAACCTCACTCTATAGCCTAGCTATAACCCCCATATAGCTGAACACAGCATGCAGATGGTAATACTGACTAGGGGGTGGGATTAACTGTTTTAGCTGAACATGCTTTCAGGAACCAGCACAAGGAACAGCAAATCCCTTTCTCCAGTGGTTGACTTAGGGCAAAGGGAGGGAAGGAGTGAGCATGCTACTGCCGAAGCCAAATCTCTTCTCCATGCCACAGCAATCTCCTTAAGAGTTAAGGGAAGTTAAGCCACACATACCCCCCCCCGAACACACACACACACACACACACACCACAAGAGAACCACAAGCTGTGATTTATTTATTTTTTTCCACCTCAGCACACAATTACATTAATTGTATGATGCTGGCATCTTCTTTTCCATAACAATGGCAAAACTTGTCACATCTATTCAGCTTGGCCTTGGAGCTTCAGATCTTCATCAAGATCTTGATTTTTCTGTTTACTCATATTAAGACAAAGGGTAGTTTGACCTCCTAGTGAGATCCCTGTCAGGACCCAAGCCTGAAGTGTGTTCAGTTGATGGCTGATTAATTGTGAAATTGTAGACAAAGAGAATAAGAGTTCTTTTCTGGGGAGCCAGCAGCTTGTTCATCTGGGAGTGATCTTCAAAACCCACAAGCATATAATGAGCTTATCACTAGAGAGACTCCAGTCACCTTTGCTGTCTTAACCACAAATTCACAGATCACTATTCCACTCATACCTACAGGCTGAGCACATCTACCACGTTTAATGGTCTCCTGTGTTAATGTGATCCCATGGCGGAGAATGAGAGGGGCTTTGGCTCAGTGGTAGTGCCAGGTTCAATCCCTGGCATCGCCAGTTAAGAGGATTAGTTAAAACCGTGTGAAAGACCTGGCCCTGAGACTCTGGAGAACCACTGGTAGTCTGAATAGATAATACTGACCTTGATGGACTCATGGTCTGATTCAGTATAAAGTTAAGAGTCCAATGGCACCTTTAAGACCAACAAAGTTTTATTCAAGATGTGAGCTTTCGTGTGCACGCACGCTTCATCAGACATTGAAATGGAATTACAGATCATAGTTGTGTATATATAGATGGCTTGTTAAATTAGCATGCAAAATAGTGGAAAAAATTTAACGGATCAAAAGAATGACAAGCTGGTTTCTGATTAGCATCTGTTTTGGTTCAGGGCGGCGGGGGGGGGGAACGGACAACAAGGTAATAAACATGTTAGAACTGGAGACTAATGGGTCCTAATCAGGGGAGCACATGCTCAGAAATTCTCCCACAATGAAAGTACTGTTAATTGTTGCTTCTCCTTGGTTCTTAGTGTGTCAGCTTTAGATGTTCTAAATATTGCTTGTTGGCTGTCTCCTTTTTTCTGTTTAGCTTATAGAATCGAATGATACCATGGATGGAGCAATAGCTGCTGGCCTTAAGTTGTCTGAAGAAGGTATGCAGTGATTTCCTGTTAACTGTTTCAAGATGGGCTTTTAACACCCTCTAAATGTATAAAACTCTTAGGCCCCGGTCACACGGGAGGTTTTGGGCCGGAAGAGGGACGGATCGAGGGCGCAGCAAACGGGCGCAATCTCACTGCAACATCTGGGAATCGGCACGCACCTGTCCCCGATCCGTCCCTACAGCCCAGTGCTGCGGAGCAAAAAAAACCAAGTAAAGAGAAGGACTTACCTGAAACATTGCAGCAAGGGAGGCTGCGGGATCGCCGGCATGTTCTTCCTCAGAAGCATTCGAAGCTTGTGGCTGAACTGTGCATGCGCACGCATGCGCAGCCAGCTGCCTCGGTCTCTCGTCGGTGGCTTCCTCCCCGGCATCTGATTGTGCCGGGGAGCAACTGCACGGCGGCTCAGGGAATCTGTGTGATCCCGCCGCCGCGTGTCTCTTTTGGTGCGGCTCTAAGAAGCCGCACCTTGGCTGTGTTTTTTTTCTGCCGTGTGGCAGGGGCCTTAAATCACTCATACACAAGGTTTTTTGAGATCTTGTCTATTGTACTAGTGATTATTTTCCTGTATTGTGGTTAATAGTTCTGCACTTTTTAGAGGGCTGGTAAACATGATTAGTTTTAATTGGTTTTGGATGGTTGCTACTGATTGCCCTTCTTTTAAGGATAGGATGGCGCAGTTCTTTCATTCTTGGTGTCCGGTTACTAATGACACCTGGGTTCTTTCTGTAGTTAGAGAAGGTTACAAATTGCAGTTTCTGACACTACCCCCATGTTTATTAGCCTCCAGGGTGGTTGACAACCCATATCCTGAGCTCACAGTTCAGTTGGGAGAGCTTACTGCTAAGGGAGCAGTAGAAGAGGTACCTGAAGGTTCTAAATTCCTTATGCCTTCCATTCCAGATGGTGAGCAGAAACCTACTTTAGACCTACGAAAATTGAATAACTTTATTAAAGTTTCTAAATTCAGAATGATCTCCCTTCAGAAGCTATAGAATGCCTTCTGCAAATTAAGATCTTTCTTCAGGAAAATAACAGAACAGAAGATATTCCTAGACAGTTCAGTAACTTGGAAAATTGTTGTTTAAACCACTTGGCCATTAAAGTTTGCCCAGTATCAAGGTGTATGGTAGTTTACATAGAAGTGAGATAATAAAGAAGGGGTATAAAAAGATGTGGGGAAGAGGTTTAAGGAGGGAGTTAACACACAGGATTTGATTTTTGTTCCTTTTACTTCATTTCTCCCCAAAGTGACTTACATCATTTTTCTATCTTGTAAATGTACTAAACTTGGACTGGACCTTACGAACATTGGCATCACCTCCTTACAGCAAAAGGAGGCCTTTAAACTCATAAAAACAAAATTAAGGGAACTGGATTTCAGCAGCACACTTTGCAGAGCTTGGCGTACCTGCTCGGGCCTATCCCTCGGCCTTCCACCACCGGTCGTGATCCCTACTTACTGTTACACTCTTAAAAGTCCAGCACTTCACAGAGCCTTCACATTGGCTAGATTGAACACGTTCCCGTCGAACATAGTCTTTGGCCGCTTTCATGGCATCTCGTTCTCTGAACGGACATGCGATTGTAATCAAGGTAGGGTGGAGATGATGGATCATATTTTGCTAGCTTGCCCCAACTGGAATACGGAGAGGCAGAAGCATATTATACCTATCTTGATAAAAGAAAAGCTTCCCTCCCTGCCCTGGTCAATTTCTGTTCTCTTATCTGATAAAGTGGATAATTCAGTTACCAAAGCAGTAGCCACATTTCTGGCCCTGGTGGCAAACAAAAAAAAGGGAAAAGGAGGGGAAAGTCCAAATCTTTCTGATTTTATGCTCTGTGTACCCGTTTGAGGATTTACTCTGTCTGACGATCCCATTTAGTGTAACACTCTCATATTTGCACAATGCATTTCACTGTTTTTTTCTCTCTCTTACTTTGCATGTATGAATGGTACTTTTATAAGTGTGTACAAGTGTGCTTAAGACTTTTGGTCATGCAAGCCGAAATAAAGTTGAGTTGAGACTGGACCTTATCCTGCATTAATTTTTATATAGTACTACAGGGTTGATTGACAAAAAATTATCTAAAAGTTTAATGTGCTATGACTTTAGGTTGCAAGTTTAATATTTTCTCGTTATTTTAAAAGGTGGATCTAGAAAGAGGAAACTTGAAGAAAGTGCCAGGGATGATGCTGCAGAAATTGAAGACCAAAGTATAAAAAAGAAAAAACTGGATCCTGTAAGTACCGAGTCATAACCTCCTTACATGTAGAGTCCCAAAACAGTTTTGTTGCTTTTGTTGAATTCATACTTTGTCAGCAGTGTCCAGGTTTTTAAAATTTCCGAACTGCTTATGAAGTGTCTGTGATGGAACATCCTATGAACAATGAATATAAAATATAAAATCATTCTTCCCTAAGCATGTCACATAAATTGAGCGACTTGATGCACATCCCATAAACTGTGACTTGATTATTTGATGACTAATCTTGTTTTTAAAACTTACAAATGTATTATGCCATGAGCACTGATAGCTCAGAACCCACCTTATCTGTTGCATGAAATAGAGTTAATCTGGTAGAAATATACATACATACATACATACATACATACGGGTGCATATGGGGATGCTATTAAGTGAATCCAGAAGGACCACCTTATCAAAAAGAGATAAGCGTTATGATGCAAAGTAACATAGCTGCCAGATGTTCCCACAGAAGAAAATGACTCTACAGTGTAACGGGCCAAAGCACTGCCAAGCAGTTATTTGGTGATGGTGCTTCCTTTCCCTCCTGCACCTTCCTGAAATGCTCCAAAATTCCAGGAGCTAATTTATCATTATTCCTGGGATTTTCAGAGTGTTTGGGGGGGTGCTTCATACATCCCGGAGCCAATCCAGAGTAGCTGATTTCAGTTTAGTATTGACTTGGATATGTCGAAATGCACATCTTTACATATTATGGCCGTTCTTCAGCCCCTCTCCTGTGACCAATCATGGGGGAGAAATCATTAAATAATACCAGGCAGCAAAAACTCTCAAACCCTTTTGTGTGGCTGGAGTGTACTTGTTAGAATATTTTTGAACTTGGAAAAAGAGGAACTCAAAGGGGTGTTAAGAACCTGAAATATAGATATATTCTTTCACTGAAGAACTGAGGGTTCTAAAACAGTGCTGTTTCTAGCCTTCTGCAAACCTTATGTGTGTGTTTATAAACAAATTGTAACTACAGCCGTTTTTAGCTTGTTTGACAGATGGATGTAATTCTCTCTATTCAAGAAAAAAGCACTTATGTGTCAACTACATGTGTGTGTGTCACAGCTGTTTTGTACTGGCTGTCTATGGCAATCTGTGTTATTCCTGGACCTACTGGAAAAATAGCCTTTTAAAATTAACCCTCATACTTGCTAGCATGGAAGTGCTTTGAGCCCATGCTCTCCCTTTTGCTTCTCTCACTTCATGGTCCGATCTGCCATACCACAGTGGGGCCAGTGTGGTGTAGTGGTTGCAGTGTCAGTCTAGAACCTGGGACTCCCAGGTTCAAATTCCTTTACTGCTTTGAAACTTGGTGGGTGGCCTCTGGCCAGTCATTCTGCCTCAGCTTAACCTGCCTCATAAAATGGGAAAGACAGACCCATGCATTCCATCCGAACTCCTTGGTGGAAGGGCTGAATAAAATTTACTAGATAGCAGCCCTATTTTCTTAATCAGGCCATTATCTATGGCCAGCTGTGTCAAGTTTTACATCAGTGATGATTAAGTGTTGCATTGTTTTAAAGAAATACTGGATGTATTTAGAAGAATTATGGTTTTAATGAACCATTCAGCAGATCTTGAGGTTTTGTTTTTCTCTAATAGGGCCAATTAGTGGAGCCTACCTTTAAAATATAAATGAGGAAAGTGGTTGCCAAAATGTGTCACAGGTTTGGGCTATAGCCAATATTGCCCATGGT